ACAGGGTCTCCCCATGCAGTTCAGGCTGACCTTAAGCTCACTTTGTAGCTCAGGCTGGCCTCGAACTCACAACGATTCTCCTGCCTCAGCCTCCCAAGTGCTGGGATTACAGGCGTGTGCCACCACGCCCAGCTCCTGTCAATATATATTAAGAGCTTGATAATATTACACTATATAGAAATGCCATAATTTATTATACCTCTACAGATGAATGTAAGTTTGTTTTCTTTTCTTTTTGTTTGTCTTTTTGAGACAGGGTCTCACTATGCAGTTCAGGCTGGCCTTGAGCTCACTTTGTGGCCCAGGATGGTCTTGAACTCGCAGCGATCCTCCTGGCTCAGCCTCTTGCACGCTGGGATTACAGGCATGCGCCACCATGCCCAGTTGTTTTCTTTATTTTTGCTTTTACAAACCCATTTGTGCAAGCCCTCACCAACACTTTTTAATAATCTTGCACATTTGCTTCAATTTAGCAGACTGATTTGCTTTTCCCAGTTACCTGTAAGGGGGAGAACGTGAGTACGGAAACGTGTATTCTTTGAGTTTCCCATGGCAGGGTGTGCGTGTGCGTGTGCCTGTGCGCGCTTGCTGGGACAAAACCCAGGGCATCATGCCCGGGAGGCAAGCGCTCTCCCACGGAGCCACACTCTCAGCCAATGCGAGCACATTACTGCCACTTTCAATAAGGTTGTTTTCCTTTGTATTTTCTCCCACTCTGCTATTCAGTCAGTCTGTGCCCTTAGGGAGACTTTTTTCTGTGTTGAGATGGAAGCTTGCTAAGTTGCCAAGGCTGTCTGAAACTCCTGGGCGCAAATGATCCTCCACGGACTGGAACTCATTTAAAGATAACAATATACAATGTATATTGTTAACAATAAAGATAACAATATACATTGTTACCCTCTATCTTGTTTTGAAATTTTTTTCTCTTTATAAAAAAAAAATCCTCCAGCATCTGCTCCTAAACACAAGGACAGCAGGCATGTGTAGCATGTGTTTTTTCCTGCCCCCCCCCCATTTTATACTGTTATATTTATTAGTCTTTCTTGGAGATGGGCATTCCTTGGAATGTTATCCATGCCAAGACTATATAAAACAGTCTCTAATTTCTTTTAGTTGTATGTTTACAGCTTTAATCTGAGGTATAAACCGCCTTTGCTCTTTTCCTTGAGTGAAAAGCCAGTTGCCCCAATTCTGTGTGATGAGCAATCCATCTGTTCCTCTGGTTGTTCTGGCTTTTTTTTCTCCCTTTCCTTTTTGAGATAGGGTATTGCTATATAGTTCAGGCTGGCCTTGAGCTCACTTTGTAGCCCAGGCTGGTTTTGAGCTTGCAATGATCCTCCTGCCTCAGTCTCCCGAATGCTGGGATTACAGGTCTGGCTAGTTGTTCTGTTTTTGACAGGCTCTTGCTATACTTCAAGCTGGCCTCAAACGCCACTGGAAATCCTATCTCCATCTCCCAAGTATTGGGATTATTACAGCTATAACGGGCTCTTTTTTTTTTTCTCTTGAGACAAGGTCTCCCTATGTACCTCAGGCTGTCCTGGAACTCACTATGTAGTCCAGGCTGGCTTGGAAAGTGCGGCAATCTTCCTGCCTCAGCGTCTCATGTGTTGGGATTACAAGCGAGTGCTACCACGCCTGGGAAGTTCATACTCTATAGCATACACGTTGTAGATCATCATAGCATCCCCTACACTAGCTGGTACACATAGCACTATTCACCTACCTCACTAGAGGTCTGTTGAAGTTAGGGTCAGGACTTTTATGTGTGATCATGGATTTTTTTTTTTTTTTTTTTGTACTGGGAATTGAACTCAGGACCTTGCACTTACCAGGAGGTGCTGTGCCACTGAGCTATATATATCTCTGGCCCAATCCTGGATTTTAACAGACATTCAACTTGATGTTTTAACAATTAAAAGGGACCAACCTTAAAGTGCTACATTTTTAGCAGTACAGACACCATCACAATAGTGGGAATGGCTTGGTATTGGATGTAACAGACTTAAAAGGTTGTCTGTCCTAGCCAGATGTGGCAGTTATCTGTACACTTGTAATTTCAGCACTCTGGGAGGCTGAGGGAGGAAGACTACAAGTTTCAGCCTTGCCTAGGCAACTATAATCTTTATCTATAATTTACTCTTATCAAAAATGAAAAGAAAAAAGAAAAAAAAGTCTGTGAAAAATCCAAATACATTTTATTAATTTTGCCAGGTCCAAAGGTGTCTTTGATAAATATACTATTCATCATTACCTATTATGGGGTTGGGGATTTAGCTCAGCGGCACAGCACCTGCCTGGCAAGCACAAGGTCGTGAGTTCGGTTCCCGGTACCAGAAAAAAACCAAAACATCATTACCTATTATGCATGTCATAGTCTTGCTTGGTAATGAGGATTAAAAATTAACAAACCTAGGCTCTCAAGGAGCTCAGGTACTTAAAAGACACTTAGAAATAACTGTAATGCCTGTAATCCTAGCACTCCGGAGGCTGAGGCAGGAGGATTGTTGCAAGTTTGAGACCAGCCTGGGCTACAAAGTGAGCTCAACGCCAGCCTGAACTGCATAGTGAGATCCTGTCTCAAAAAGACAACAAAACAAAACAAAACAAAACAAAACAACAACAACAAAAACCTGTAACTGTAGAATGCAATGGAGATATGCAAAGGAACATCAAGTAGTGCAGGCTGGGAGTAACATCTTAGTGGACTGCTATCAAGAAGTTTGAAAAGTATGAAATACCCATCAAGAAATGATAAGACGTGGTTGCGCATGTCTGTAATCCCTGCACTTGGGAGGCTGAGGCAGAAGGATTGCTGTGAATTTGAGGCCAGCCTGGGCTACATAAGCAAGTTTAAGTCCAGCGTGAACTACATAGCAAGACCCTGTCTATAAATAAATAAGTACATACGTAAATAAGTAAAAAGAGAGACAAGAGCAAGACAGTGGTAGTAAACAACACAAGGCTGGGCCGGGGGTGCAGCGCAGTGGTAGAGCTCCTGCCTAGCATGTGCGAAGCCTAGGTTCAATCCCAGCAAAACACACAGACACACACACACACACACACACACACACACACGGGAACAAAAAGCAAAACACAAGGTAGAAGAGTAATTTTAGGTACTACTGAGAGAATATTAAACTTAAAAAAAAAATGAGTAGTGGAAAGACAGGTTCCTCTCGTGTGATCACTTGGGAGGGTGAGGCAGGAAGACTGCTGCAAGTTCCAAGCCAGGCCCGGTTACACGCTGAGTTTAAGACCAACTTTAAGTACATAATGGAGTGCTAGGGTCATATTTATATTCTAAAGAGAACTTAGGGCAGATACTCAAAAAGATTAATTTCATTTTTGTTTTTTTTTTTCTTCTTCCTGGTACTAGGGACTGAACTTGGGACATTTATACTGAACTATATCCCCAAACCTTTCCTGAGACAGGGTCTCAGGCTGGGACAGTTGTCCAGGCTGGGATTATAGGCATGTACTATCACACCCAACTAAAATCAATTTTAAAAGACAAATGTATACTCCCTATGAAGACAAACTAGGCAGCTAGAGCAATACAAGGTTAAAACTACAGTAATCAGTAATGAAGAACAGAGAGACTAATAAAACAATACAAAGTGCCCAGAAATAAGGCACAATGACCCGATGGGTTTTCTATAAAGTTACCAATGTGGGCGAAGGCAAAGGTAAAATTTTTCAACAAATGAGGATGGTATCACTGGAAATCTATATAGAAAAATGAACCTACGTCCCTATCTCAAAATAAAATTATGACAGACCACACTCATAACTTAAAAGTAAAAATCATAAAGCACCAGAAAGAAACATATGAAAGTATCTTCATAGTTTGAGGGCAGATAGACACAGGTTTCTTTGATAAGAATCACAAAAGAACAGCAGATAAATTAAAACTTTTTCAAAATAAACCTGTGCTCACTCAGAAACAAACACCAATTTTTTTTTTTTTTTGGTACTGGGAATCAAACTCAGGACTTTGCACTCCCCGCACTTTGGGAGGTTGAGGCAGAAGGACTGCTGAATTACACAGTGAGACCCTGTTTCAGAAAAAAAAAAAAAGAAAAAGAAAAAGACAAGCAATCTGTAAAATGGAGAGAATGTATCAGTCAAAGGACTAGCATGGAGGATATAGAGAGTTCCTATTCAATAACAAAATAGAAACAGTCAAAATAAGGAACAGTCTAGACTTCATCTGAAAAGATTCATGAGAATGACAAACAAATAGGTGATACAGTACTCAATGTCATTGGTTATTAGGAAAATGCAAATGAAACCCAAGGAAATACCACTATATATACCCACTAAAAATGGCTAAAATTAAAAAGACTGACAAGTGCTGGTGAGTGCACAGAGATGGGAATTCTGATTCACATATACAGTATCTTTTATTTTTATTTGTGGCTTATTTTCTATTCAGCTTTCTGACTCTGCTTGCGTCTTCAACACTTCCACCGTTTTCTGCTCAGCACTCTTGATCCTGTCACAAGCACAGGCAGCACACGTGGACCCACAGTGCGACTTGCTGACATCAGAGAGTCTCGCAGGGACCCCAGGCCTCACAGCACTGAGCCCGGCCAAGTCTGGCTGGGTACGTATCATGTGCTTTCCTAACCCTGGCCTAAAGGTAAACAGTACTATTTCCTGGGGGTTGAGAACAGCCCAGAGGCTGTATTGAAAGAAAACTAGAAGGGGTCATGTCAAGCACTAAGCCATTGTGAAGGCCTCCAGACACCATCTCTGGAAAAGAAACACTGTAATACAATGTTAGTGAAAGTGTGAAATGCAGAATGGCCAGAGAGTTTCTCACTTAAACTCCTTATCTGGCAATTCCACTCCCAAAAAATCCGATTTGGGGTTTTTTTCATTTTGTTTTGAGACAGGGTCTCGCTATGAAGTTCAGGCTGGCCTTGAATTCTCTGTGTGCCTGGTGCCTCAGCCTTCAAAGTGCCGAGATTACCGTGTGCATCACCACATCCAGCTGTAACCTTTTTTCCAACTAAAAGATTTGCACAAGAATGTTTACAGTAGTCTTAAATAAAATATACAAGGAGGGATGACAAAATACATGAAATTTCAGTGGAAACAAAAAGTTATCCATGGCAAAGAAACTGGTTGCCCGGATGGCATGAAAACAGAGTGTCTGGGAAGGCCTGGAGGAAACCTTCCGCGGTTTTGGTAGCACTGCACAGTACTATATACTTTGATGGCGTCTGGATTACACAGACCTATACATCTCTCAGTGTTGGGAAAGGTACACTGCATTTCATTGCATGCAACATATTTACCTCGAAAGGGGAAATAAACAATAAACGAGGAGTGCGCTGGGGAAGAAAGAGGCCACATTCAGTGGTGACTGGAATGGAAGGGAGGTGCTGCGGGTAGGAAAAGCGACATTATCTCACCTGTCTCAGCCAAGGAACTAGACAGATGCAAATGATTTCCTGAAGAATCCTTCATTATCTCAATTCTAATTACTGAGATGTAGCTACTCTTCAGATAACACCTGGTCCTTCAGTATCCTAATTCACAGTATTTGAACATAACAGCCAAAGAGAACGGGGTAATAAGACATTTTTATTAGGTAAAAGTGACAAAACTGGCTATCAGATGTCAGGACGTGTGAGAGAAAAGCCAAGCTTGCTTCCCCGGTTTCCGACTAAGGTGTTGGTAAAGACGATGATCTCAACCAACTGAAATAGGACAGCTTGCTGAAAAGTGCAGCCTAGAGCCTAGTTAGGTGAACTTTTCATTAAGTAAAACACTTTCTTCCTTCAGTACAAAAAATTTTGTTTCTATATTATACCAAAAACACAAAATGAGGTTCAGTATAGCCATTAACGTTTGCAGATAATGTTATGACAGAACCTTTAAATGAGAAAAACTGGGCTGGGGATATAGCTCAGTGGCACAAGCACCTGCCTGGCAAGCACAAGGTCCTGAGTTAATTCCCCAGAACCACAAAAAAAAAAAAAAAAAAAAAAAGTGAGAGAGAAGAACTGATTCCAAAACATATCATATAAATTAGCTATACAGTGGGGGTGGTAACACAAGCCTGTAATCCCAGCACTGCAGGAGGCTGAGACAGGAGAATCCCTAGTTCGAGCTCAGCATGGGGCAATCAAGCAACTGAGGGAGACCTTGTCTCAAAAAGTAAAAGGCTGGGATGTGGTTCAGTGAAGCCCCTCGGGTTCAATCCCCAGTGCTACAGAGAGAGACAGACAGACAAACAGACAGAGGAACCGGGGCTGGGATGTAGCTCTGTGACTAGCTTGTCAAGCAAGCCGAAGCCCTGGGTTCGAGCGCCAGCACCACAAGCGCATAACAACAAAAATCTTACACGTTAATGTTGAAGGTGTTCCTATACTCTCCTGAATACAATATCGAGATTTTTGTATTAGAGCCTACCTCTACATCCTCGTTTTGACGTTTAACAGAAAGCTCCAAAAGGGCAGGGGTCCTGCCTCGTAAAATGTGCTATTACTGCCTGTGTACAGCATAACCGGCGACCAGTAACCGTTTAGCTGACAGTGACAATCTCTGATCCACCAGAAACCAGCTAAATACCTCTCGCCGCTGGCTTAGGTATCACCTCTTACTTCCAAGTTCCAGACTCAGCTCGGGAAAACACCGAAATCAAATCTACCTACAGGTAGTTCGCAGTGAATCACTCAATCCTGTACCCTAGTCTTTAGTAGACGCAACTAACCCACGTAGCCACAGGAAGAAATAAAACAGGAGGTAAAGTTATCACCCGCGCAATCAACAGCAAGTAAAGCGCTGACTTCGGCCCCACACGGGGAGAGTCTCACAAACTCAAAAGCCGGACTCCCAGAGACACGTAGGTGGAATACGCAAGCCTGGGATTAAGTACCAAGGAAACAGGCTACAGACGCTGGGTGAGCTCCTCTCGAGCTTCCAACAGTCTGCAGACCCCGTGAAGCAACGCTTCCGTTTTCCCCCGCGGCTAGGGCTGCGCTCCACGAAGAGCGCGGACGACCGAACGCGGGCTTTCACGCCGCGCGCCGCGTTTGGAGGGCCGTTCGTCGATGGTGGGAAGCAACAGCTAGGCCTTTAAATCCATCTCCCGGATGGCCCGCCAGGCCCGAGCGCGACCCAGCGGGGAGCGCGGGCTCCGGACCCCGGCGGCCGCCA